AAATGACAATGGAATACCCTTCTCTCACAAAACTAAACAAAAAAGGTATACAAATGAAGAACCATTTTGTATCTATATCCAAAATAGGATAGATATACAGCTACATTCTCTTAATTCAATGAATAGAAAGATTTGTTGTAATAGTGTTTGTGGACAGGATATCATGTCTGCATCTTGTATAATGAATAACCACTAAGACAACAATATGCAATGTATTAGTTACTGAAACTGACCTCCTAATCAGTTTTGAAACTGTCTCATTGCTATTTGTTTCTCAATAAAATTATTTAAAAAAAAAAAGAATGTTACACAAAAGTAGTTAGGTCATCATAGATTTTCCAGTAGTCAAGGAAAAGAATACAAGATCCTCAAGGAAAACCAGTAGAGTTTTAAAAAAATAAGTAGCAAACTGTAGTCTTAGTTTTTATTGTACCAGTCAAAGAATGCATATATTATTAAGGAAGTACTCTCTTCTTTTTTGTACTTTAGGACAGGGTCTCACTGCATAGATTAGACTCATAGTATTCCACCTGTTTACATCCTCCTAAGAGCTGTGATTACAGGTGTGTACTACCACGCCCAGTCTCAATCACCATCTCAGTGCGCCCCAGGGGCGGGGCCGGCACAGCAGGCCCAGGGATTGAACTCCCAGCCCCTGTGTCTGCCTAAGCAGGTACTTTAATCCACTGAGCTATTTGGCCGGCCCTAAGAAGGAAATAATCTATAAGGGGATAAGAAACTCTATGATTACTATAACCCTGTTGTCCATCAGAACTAGGAATCTGAGCCTTTGTGAATTGAGTTTCTTCAGCAAACCGTATCGTGGAGCAGGCATATATATATGGTACAGGCCCTCGCTACACAGTTTAGACTCTCTGTGATCCTCCTGTTTCAGCCTACCCAGTGCTGGGATTACAGACATGTGCCACCACGCCTGGTCTTGGCGGCTACCTCGGCGCACCTGGAGTTGCAGAGCCAGCATGGCCTGTGGTGTCAGGATCGAACCCAGGTCCTTGAGCTTAAGGCAGGCGCTTAGGCTGCTGAGCTATCTCCACAGCCCCATGTGGAGTTTTTAAAATTGAGCATTAAAACAGATCTTGTGCCAGCCAGGTAATCTTCTGTTTGTAACTAGTATTTCCAGCAGTTTTTTAGTGATGATTAGATTACTTGAAAATTTGAGGGGTTTTTCTCATCAAATTGATATTTGTTATATCATTTTCCTATGTGGACAAAATAGACAATCTGTTCAGAAATTTCGGTCTATAAAATTAGTTTTAGCTGGCTGGGGATACAGCTCAGGGGCATAGTGCCTGTCTGGCAAATGCAAGGTCCTGAGCTTGATTCCTAGGATAGATAGATAGATAGATAGATAGATAGATAGATAGACAGACAGACAGACAAGAGATAAGGAGCTACTGATTAATAACATATGGAGAAGCCACCTGTAGCTCATTTTTCTGCAACTTCAGCAATGACCATAGAGAAAAATAGATTGATTATTGAAAGCCTATTGAAAATCAGTATAATTAATTCTATGAACATAAATACATAATGAACAGAAACATACAAAATGTCAAGAGTAGCATGTAAATGTGGCTTATTGGCCTAGAAACAAATCCACTTAACTAGTTTCAGTGGAGTGGAGAAGGGTGCTCAGTGGAAGGGTGCTGCATGCAGTGTCTCAGAATCTGAGGTCTGGAAGGCCTGTAGAGGGCTGTGGAAGACTTAGAAACAGGAGGGGGAGAGTTGAGAGGCGAAGACACTTGCTGTTCTTCCCTTTAAAGTTCATAGGTTTTTCCACCTCACTTCTCTTTTTTTTATCTTCTGCATGAAAAGCCTCTCCATGGCCTGCCTTTTCTTGACCGTGCACTAACATGATAGAAAGTAAATTTGGGGGCCAAGGAGACAGCTCAGTGGCTTGTCCAGCAAACATAAGGTCCCAAGTTCAGTCCCTGATATTTAAAAACAAACAAACAAGCAAACATAAAGTAAGACCGGGAGCTCAAAGACCAGGAGAGGAGCGCTAATTGGTCAGCAGGGACAAGTATTCCCTGATAGTCCTCTCCACTAACCCAGAGGTGACACATGGTCACTGCTACCAAGGAACTGCTGCCTAAGGAGTCTTAGAGAAGACAATGTCAGCAGACCTGTGTGAAGGGACAGTTTTCAGAAAAGCAGGAGACAACCCAGACATTCATACTAAGATGTATACATAGTAC